ATGAAACAGGTGACCAAAATCACGAGATAAAAAGACGTATTGAAATTGCCAGATCTACCTTTATAAAAATGAAAAAATTATTTTGTAATCGTGATATTAGTATTCATCTACGAACTAGAATGTTAAAATACTATGTATTCAATACTTTGCTTTACGGTGTTGCGGCATGGACTCTTAAACAGAGGAATATTAAAAATCTTAAAAGCTTTGAGATGTGGTGCTACCGCCGTATACTGAAAATCAGTTGGGTGGATAAAAATACAAATGAAGATAAATACGCAGAATAAATAACGATCCAGAAGTTATACTGAATATAAAAAAGAGAAAACTTAAATACTTAGGCCACCTGATGAGAGGAAAAAAGTATACATTCCTACAAAATATACTGCAAGGAAAAATCCAAGGACGCAGAAATTCAGGCCGTAGAAGAATGTCCTAGATGAGAAATTTAAGAGAGTGTTTTGGCTGTACCATTAACGAATTATTCAAAACAGCAGTAAATAAAATTAGAATCGCCTTAATGATATCCAATCCCCGATAGGAGAGGCACTCAAACAAGAAGGAGAAAGTCAGATGGCTGGAGTCTTATAATCTTCACGGATTAAAAATTTCCTAAATTAAAAAACTTACAAAGCCACCTTATATATTATAATCCTAGTACAACTATAAAACCAGACATTTACAAACACAACTATAACAATTAATATAAAAGTAAAAAAGTGAAGAAAAACATCTCGTTATATATAAAGCGTAATACATACTTGCAATTCAATCAACAGTACGTAAAGCTTTTGAAAGATCTGGCAATCAAATTCTTTTTGTTCATCATTCCACACATTAATTTAATTTAATCTGCAATCGCTTCATGAGAGGAAAGATTTTTTTGAATGGTTACATTGTCTTTTTGACATTTAATTATTTTTTCCAGAATAGATTCAACCCTAATTAATTTAATTTCCCTTTCAAATATTTTCGTAAAACGTAGTAAGTGGTATATAGATTTGGGCAAATATTCAAAATGCATATATTGGATATTTTATGCAAATATCTGGTGATTTTGCATATTTATTTAAAAAATTGCATAAAATGCAAAAATTTCAATTTACTTCGAATTACGGATTTTAAATAATACTTATCTAACCGTAGATAATGGTATGACTAAGTAACTGGACATTTCAATGTCCATTTTATTTCAATACTTCAGTCTTCAATATTACCGATAGGACATAGATACTACCTAATATTCTTGGTGTTGTTATAGCAGGTAACCGATTAAAATCCTGTAATAAAAGAGTGTTTTAAAAAGTTCATTGTATGGGCTATGAATAGACTTGTCCTTTTGCAAATCATTTTATTCTCAAAAGTAAAAGTGAAAAATATTGTAAATTGAATATTCCAAGGGAAACAACTTTAAGGTGAAACCATTTCAACGTATGGTACTCGTCAGTAATAGATAATATAAAAACTAATATTAGTGACAATTACTTCTACAATTCTTTGATTCGACGCAAAAATATTATTTGCTATAGTAGAGCCCACATTTATAAACTAAGCAGGAATAAAATGGGCAGGTCACGTGGTATGATTAGAGGATGACAGAGTATTAAAGACAGTTTTTTTGAAAGACCAGATGGTAAAGATCAGTAGGCGGACCGAGAAAAAGATGGAAGGATGATGTTGAAGCCGATTTATCTAGAATTGGGGTACAACAATGGGAAATAGAAGCGCAAGATCATAGAGGATGGAGGGCGATAGTGGATGCGGCGAAGACTCACCCTGAGTTGTAAAGCCAGTGAAGAAGAAGAAGAATTAAATATATCGGCAATTTCTAAAGAGTTACACAAAGCTCATATTACCTCGATACGTAAAATGGAAGATAGAAAAACATGCTACAGCTACAGGGGCTGGGGCGTTAGTGAGACAGCATGTATGGGATGTGATTAATTGAAAATACTAAAAAAATATCTGGAAAAACTGTTCTCAAATAAAATCTGAGATGATTCGGCAGGATTTACTGCAGGAAGATCCTGCATACACCTTATATATATATATATATATATATATATATATATATATATATATATATAATATATATATATATATATATATATATATATGTTGAAAATTGTCTAGGTGAATATCAAGCAGGTTTCAGAGCAAACAGATCGGTAACTGACCAAATTTTTACAATGAAAACAAATTTTAGCTAGCTCATATGAATTCAACCTAACAGTACACATGCTGTTTATTGATTTTAGAATGGCATATGATACTATAAAAAGAAATAAAGTATATGAAGCACTAGAATATTTTGAATTTCCACCAAAAATAGTAAGACTGACTAAATGCATACTCAATGATACTAAAAGTAAAGTCATGTTAGAAGGACGGGTTTCGGATAGTTTTATCACCAATAGAGGTCTGCGACAAGGTGATCCGTTTATCAACAGATTTTTTCAATTTGATCTTAGAGAAGATTTTACGAGAATGTAACATCTACACTAGACATCAATGTGTAGCATATGCAGATGATGTTACCTTAATAACAAGGAGACCTGCAGAATTAAGAGAAATCTTTATTAGAATAGAGAGAATAGCCAGAGAATATGGTTTAGAAATAAACGAAGAAAAAACAAAATATATGGTGATGAGGGTAACGAAAATCATCTAGGAGAGTCCTTTAAGGTACAAAGCCCAAGTAAAGAATATAACTTTGAAGTTGTTAGCCAATCGACAACTTGGGAGTGACACTAACAAATAGGAACGAAGAGAACCAAGAAATCATAAAAAGAATGGCAAAGGTAGTAAGAGTGCTGGGAGCCTGACTAAGATACTGAGGTCGAAGAAAATATCCAGAACAGCAAAAAAAAACGAATATATACAACAGTTATCCGACCTACAGTACTCTATGCTAGCGAGACCTGGACACTAAATAAAGATATGGAAGTAAAATTAGATAGATGGAACGAAAAATTCTTAAAGGATATACGGAGGTGTAAAAGAGGGAACATCTGGCGAAGAAGAACGAATGAAGAAATAATGCAAATATATGGACAACCAAAAATAACAAGACTCGCGAAAATTCAAAGATTAAGATGGCTCGGGCATATAGCAAGAATGAAGGAAGGAAGAGTTCCCAATGAATTAATAAACACGGAGACTGGTACAAAAGAAAAAAGAGCCGCCCCCGAAGAAAATGGCTGGAGTCGCAAAAGAAGATCTGAAGTCGCTGCAGGTACAAGATTGGAAAAACTTAGCACAAGATAGAAAGAAATGGAAGAAAACCGTGAAGCCTTGGGCCTTTGAGGCCTGTGAGCTGATCTATATATATATATATATATAATATATATATTATATATATATATATATATATATATATATGTATATATATATATATATACATTCCAACAATTAATTCAGAAAAGAAGGACAAAAAATAGACTGGTACATCAATTTGGCTAAATCGTACAGGATGATGTTGATAGAAAAGGCATTGAGGTATCAATTGTCCGAAAATCTTTTAAGGTCTTTAAAATCTTTATACCGGAATGATGGCATCTCCTCATTTTGTTCGTATTTCTGGCTGAGGACAGCTACAGGAGAAACATCATTACACATTAGAAAAATATTAGGGTTTTGATACTTAGGATAGAACCTTGGAATATAGAATATAGGATTAGAAAATAATGGTAACGTGATAGAACAAGTTGAAAAATATCAGTACTTGGGAACTTTGATCAATGACACCAATGATCATACTGCAGAAATATACAGGCGAATAGAGATTGCCAGATCAGCATTTATACGAATGAAGCCACTCCTAATGTGCAAAAATCTAAAGGACTTTGGAGATCAGACTACCTACCATTCGCTGTTATATATTTTCAATATTATTATATGGAGCTGAGACTTGGACATTAAAAAAATACAATTTAAAAAGAATCATCATTAATTGCTATTTAACTGGGAATAAGCCACAAATAAAGATAAAAATACGTTTATTGACGTTTCAATTTCCACTTCGGAAATCGTTCTCAAAATACAAACAGTAAATTAAACAAATTTTGTTAAAAAAAAAATTGTTTAATTTACTGTTTGTATTTTGAGAACGATTTCCGAAGTGGAAATTGAAATGTCAAAATATGAAATTTTGAGACTCATAATACACGGAAAGATTCAAGGAAGAACTCATGGTTGAATAATCGATGTGATTGGTATCAATGCAGATCTATTGATTTGTTTAGAGCAGCAAGTTCAAAAATAAAAATATCCACTATGATTGCCAATCTACGTAGGGAGACGGCACTCTAAGGAGAAGATATTACAATTGAAAAATAGCGCGCAGTAATATTTTGATTTTTAAATGCTTTGTTACTTGTGGTGAACATTGAGGTAAGAACTAAAACTTAACCAAAACATCGGAAAACACAACAAAAATCAAGAGGCGGAAGTTAAGAGATGATAAATAATGTCTATTCGGGAGTTCTCTTTTGTTTTGTTTTTTTGTTATATTCGAAGTTTTTTGGGGAGGTCATATTATTTTTATAAATTCTAGTACAACTGAGGTAAAAAGTATCGATTATTAAAATTTTTCTGTCCAATTAAAAGTCCTATATAAATATCTTTGTAAACTATTGCCCTAAAACCAGTCAACAATTCATTTAAAAATCGAGTATAAAACCTTTATCGCTTTATTACATTTAAAGTAAAATTTTTAATACTATTTAATTCAGCGAAAACTTCTGTTTTAAAAAAATTTAATCGCTTTGATGTAGCCAAAATAATATTTTAAGCTTGAAATTGTATTATTAATGAATAAAAAATAGCATGGTTAATTGATATCGTCATAAAATCATATAAAAATAAAGATGTTAATCTTCTAATTGAGAAATTCCTCCTTTTAATTATTTGATAACCACTGATAGATATTCCGATCCAAATAAATTGTTAAACGGACAAAAAAATTGCACCACTTTTATCAAATACGTCAACATCCTTACCTTACGTAATCCGCACGCCAAAATTGCCGTCGCTAATAACTGGCAATATCTGATGTTGTTTTTTCAGCAAGCACAAAACGTCGTCAATCAAGAAAGCATGTCCGCAATGCAATCACACGTCACAGCCACCTTCGTCGGCATGTACGGATATCGCTTTTGAATCGAAACATCGAATACACCACGAGCTCTACGTCGATCAAGTCGCTCTCGTTAAGAGCTTTTGGCGGTGTTGTCGCATTTCCGTCGAATTTTCTGGTAAATATCATCTAAATTATATATCAATTGAATCGGTCGTTTAAGAAATAAGTGAAATACACAAGTCAATGACTTTTATGGTTTCTGCACATATATAGAATCAGTATACGTCATTTTAGAACAAAATCGAGATGAAAAAACGTTTGGTTTATCTTTGAAACAGCTTGCAAAGTTTTCTGCCGTCCTAACATGAAAGGTCCTATCTGCAAAATTTGGTAAAATGACTTTATTGGCTCACGGCATTCGTAAACATATTATTTATGTATGTACAAAATGAAATTGTCCTATAAGCGTCTTAAGTGCCTTATTATCTACCTAAATGTTTGTCCTAACTGACTAAGAAGCCATGTTCACTAACATAAATTGTCCTATCTCACATATACTAAGAAAAATTGTCCGTTTTGACTTTAAAAATGCAGTTAGGACTATTTAAGCTAGTATTTTATACTGAGCGGCATTATTTAGGACAATTTTTGCCTAGTATGATATAAGCATGTGTGTAACATAACTTCAAATAATTAATTAAAAAGGGTATTTGTTTTTGTCAGACATTGGGAATACTCTCATGCTTTTTGGTATTTTAAGTAAATATATTGTGAGAAATGGATGAAGGGTAATTTTAATAATGTTACCTTAGGTATAAGCAATAACTGATCGTAATTATTGTTTGTAGTAGTAGCAAAAAATATAGACGCACATGCGTCTATATTTTCTGATTGTAGCAATGCAGCATGTCGTAGCCAGAACAGCGATAGGTGTAAACGTATGGTATTTAGCCAAAAGCGAGAATGATCCAGATTATGCACCTAGGACGTCCAATAAATTCGACAATAATATAAATGGAAATGAGTCGGATTCTAGTTTCGAATCTAACTATTATCATTTATGTTACATATATTAGGATGTAAATTGTGTACAAAGTTTTAAAACTTCTTCTTCTTTTTATATAGACATGACTCTGTCTGTTTTTCAATGTACCTCCAGTAAGTTGCCGTTTCATCGTTTTCGTGGTCTTCCTACTGATCTCATCGTTTTCGTGGTCTTCCAACTGATCTTCTTCTTATTGGGGAATCGTCTCTTGCCGTATTTACTACTCTATTTGTTGTCATTCGGATTGTATGATCGTTCCATTCTACTCTTCTATTTCTTACAAAGTTTTTAATATCCTTACTTTGTCTGATGTACCTCACCTTGCATATACATTGTATCTCTGTACTCTGTATCTTATCTTAGCTCTATCCCATAGTGTTTTGCCATCAATGGTTCTAAGTGTTATAATCTCTTCTGTCTCTAATATCCTTTTTGTCCTCTCTGTGTCAGGTCTTGTTTCTGCTGCGTATGCCATTATTGGTCTGATGACTGTTTTGTAAATTTTGTCATTCATTTCTTTTCCGATATTTTTATTTCTACATATTGTTTTATTCAGGCAGCATGCGGCACTGTTTGCTCTATTCACTTGATCTTCCACTTCAGTTTTGAGCTTTCTGTAGCTAGATAATGTGATGCCTAGATATTTAAACTCCATCACTTCTTCTAATGTCTTACCTTCCAGCTCCAATTTACATCTTAGTAAATTTGCTGTTGTAAGCATGCATTTTGTCTTTTTTTAGGAAATTAACATATTTCTGGCGATTATATTAAATTGGTGCAGCATAAGTTGTAAATCATCTTCACTTTGAGAGACCAGTATTGCGTCGTCTACATAGTAGATTATTTTAAGTTGTTTTTCTACCATTTGGTATCTTTTTTTAGTTACTTTTTTTATTATTTCATCCATAATCAGGTTAAATAATAAAGGACTCATAGAATCTCCCTGCCTTATCCCATTGCCAGTTACAATAGGGTCGGTTAGTTCTTCTTCTACTTTTACTTTTATTGTGTTTTTTTGGTAGATATTTTTGATCGTTTTGATTATTCCTGGCGATATCTCTCTTGCGTACAGTAAGTGGATAACGTCTTAGTTTAACCCAGTCAAATGCCTTTTTAAGGTTCACGAAACATAGATATGCCGGTTTGTTGTATTCTAATGATTTCTCTTGCATTTGCCTCATTATAAATATAGCGTCGATACATAATCTTCCCGACCTAAAACCTTGTGGTTCTTCAGCCAGTGTTATAATTTCATTCAGTTTATTTGTTATCACTTTGGTTGTTAATTTTAGTGTTGTGTTTTATAAATTAATTCCCATTCCCTTGATCTTCATTCTTGAGGAATTCTATTTTGTGTTCTATTATTTTATAAAACTTAGTATAATAAAATTAAAAGTGTTTAGTTAATTTGAATTTTAGTTTTATTTAGGAAAATTTCAGTAAGTAACACAAAAAAACGTACTTCAGATACACTAAGCTAAATTGTCCTAAGTGGCAATATAATCAAAAATCGACTAATCTGGAAAGAATAAAACAAAATTCTGACTAGCAATTAAATTCTATTCTCTGACATAATATATAAAAAAAAACATAAGGACTTCTTTAAATTACCAAGCGTTATACAATGAAAAGAAACAAAAAGTTTTGTAAGTGATGAAAACGAAGCTTTGAAAAGAAAGCCTAAGCAGAGCTATTGTTAAAGACCGGAATTTTTGTTTGTTTTTACCAATTTTTTGCATATCTGACATATTTTGTATAAATTTTATATTTTTACAGGAAATTGCATGTATCTGCATATTTTTATATAAAAAAATGTACAATGCCGATATTTTCTGAATGTGTTGACCTTTTCTCGAAATTGTTTATTCAAATAATACCAATGGGCGTCCACAGGATCAAAACTAGATGGGGCAGATTTGAGAAATAAAAAAATTGGTTAGATAAGCAATAATAAATATAGACGTAAATTGAGAGTCTTCACTGAGAGGGGAAAGGGGTTTCCCTCAAAAAAGTTTTGAATATAACGTTTTTTAGCCAAAAGTATAACTCAAGGCCTTTATATAAAAATGAAGGAAACTAAATATAATTTAAATATTTAAAAACTATTTTTTTACAAGTTTATTTCGTCCTGGATAAGCCTTCGATTTGTGAAGCAAGATAAATTCTCTGTTCCTAAGCACAATTTACAGTGATCAATTCTAAATTCTTGTAAAACTTGTATGAAGCAAGATAAATTCTCTGTTCCTAAGCACAATTTACAGTGATCAATTCTAAATTCTTGTAAAACTTTTTCTACAAACTCTTCCTTTTTTGGTAATATTTGTTTCCGATGAATGCTCATTTGAGCTAATCCATTAAGGTGATCTTCGACCATTATACTCCGTAACCATTTTTTTATTCTTCGAAGACAGCTGAACGACCTCTCCACTGTATATGTAGTGCAAAGCAATGTTACGAGAATTTTCCGCAATTTTTTTGTTAACGGATAAAAAGTAGTGGATGCTCGTAACAGTTCAAATTCTTCAAGGTGTTGAAGTTGTCTAACTTATTATTAAGGCCGTTTTTATTCCACTGTTCTACCCATACTTCTAGCTCTGCATCTATTCCATCTATTTCATAGTGGTTTAACGATTATCTCAGGCATCAATTCGAAAATTACACAAGTCTTGGAAAACACCCTTACTCGATTCTTTTTCACGGAGAGGTAAATCATGAAAGCCTGAAAAGACGAGACATAAGATAACTGAACAGAAGACTTTTCTGTTAGTTTCTATTGTTTTGATCACAAACTCGTTGATATAAATGTCAACTGGTTTCGCTCATAAAAAAAGGTTCCGCAGCCTCGCTAGCCATCTTATCGTATTGATTTTTTGCATGACCTTTGAAACATGTGTGGACATCTTTGTATTTATTTAAAGGCCCTTATCATAAATGACCCCGATGTCAACGGGCTATAAAAAAGTTTCTTTTTAAATGTACAGCATCTCCCACAAAATCATAATCTGTAGGCGGCACCCAAGTTTCTTTCAGTTATTTCATTTTTTTGGAACTGACAGCGTAAATACACTTGACGCATATCTATTAATATCATAAATGTGGTCATAAGTATGTTCTTCTTCTTCTATTCCCTGTGCTTTATAAATAGGCTTAATGCCTGTTTTAATCGGTTTTTAGCTTCAATTTACGTTATCTGACCATCTTTTTCTCGGTCGTCCCAATGATCTTCTTCCATTTGGCGATTTGTCTCTTGCTATTCGTACTATTCTATTTTCTGTCATTCTTTCGATGTATTGATCCATTCCACTGTTCTTCTTTTGGTCCACGCGTTTATTTTCTCTATACCACATCTCGCTCGCATTTCCTCACTTCTTACTCTGTCTCTTAGAGTTTGGTTTATTATTTTTCGTAAGACTTTCATTTCTGTTGTGTCCTGCAGTCTTTGTGTTTTCGCTGTATCTGCTCTTGTTTCCGCTGTGTACGACATAATCTGTCTTATTGTTGATTTGTAATACTCTGGTTTTCGTTTCTGTTGTGAGGTATTTGTTTCTCCAGCTTGTTTTGTTGAGACATCCTGCTGCTCTGTTTGCCATGTTCACTTGTTTTTGTACTTCTTCTTTCACTTTTCCGTAGCTTGACAGTTTTATTCCTAAGTATTCAGTTTCCATCACTTGTTCTATTATTTTGTTATTTACGACTAGTTTACATCGTCTCGGTTCCGCTGATATCACTATCGCTTTAGTTTTCTCTGTTGAGATCACCATTTTGTATATGAGCGCCGTATCTTCGAATTCTTTAATTAATCTTTGTAGGTCATCTTCATTTTCGGCTGTTATTATGGCGTCGTCGGCGTAACATATTATCCTTATTTCCTTTTCTCCCATTCTATATCCTCTTCTTTTTTTAACTTTCTTTATGATTTCATCCATTATCACATTAAATATTAATGGGCTCAGCGAATCTCCTTGTCTAATGCCAGTTTTATATTTTATAGGTTGCGATAGTTTTCCTTTACATCTTACCATAGCTATGTTATCTTTATATATATTTTCAATGGTTTTTACTAAATCAAGTGATATTCCCTTTTCATATAATAAATGTATCGCGTT